TTCCCAATTGCATGTGCGCTCCTACGTTTTTGAGCTAATTAGTTTCGGAGTTATACAAAAGCCCAAATCACAGACAACCCCAGTTTGTCACGTGTACCTTTCTCTGTCCAATGGACTCTAGCTGTGGTCATGTCTGGTATAATGCAGTTACGTGGAGCGCTAACATACCTATAATCATTTACCACTTTCTCACGACACTTCTTGCTTGGATTCCGTGCATTACAGAACGAAGTGCTTGATTTTTGTCGCCGACACTGATTCACGAAACCCACTTCAACGCAGTTCTCACCGCGCAGCTTCGTCATCACCCAATGCCCCTGTCGGCAAATTTCCAGGGGAACTATACTTTGCTACTGTAGCTCTCACTGAAAGTCATTACAAACGGGTTACTGCTCAGGGCCAATGTGGACACATGAAATAGAGAGAAGAACGATAGAATGGATGACAGAACATCGTCAGGATTCATTTCACCGTCGTTGTGAAGCCGGGATATCCTACTTTCACTCTGAATCGAACACTTTTCAAACAAAACGGACAATTGCCATCAGATCGGGCACACTCCTCACACTGAGCAGATGATCAAGAGAATCACACTAGATACAGCTGCCCGTCCCAACACTACTGCCCTTTTCTCAGCGTGGCCATGGTTTTCCGAAATTTACTTTATGAACTTTAATCATCTGACTTTTTTGGAAAGAACTGGTAGCGACACAGATACGACCCTCATCCCTTTTTATTGGAGTTATCGCGAGGTCTCAGTTCAGTTTTCGTAACCTTTTTTACACGTAGTCTTTTCACATTCACTCTTCACAAAACGAATGCGCTCATGAATATGCATCTATGCACTGGCACGCTAAGCCCCCCCTCCCCTCCCCACTGACCGCATACTTTGCGGAATTTCAATCTTTTCCGCGAACTTTCAAAATTAGAGCGTAACAGGAGCTTAGGAGCCCGTCTTTAGGAGCCCGCCCTCTTAACAGAGGCTCTGCGGAGACCTGTGCCCGAACTGGCAGGTGACGGTCTCTTCCGCCACCCTTATTCTAAAACTTGCTGCATTATATTGGTTTTGTGAAGAATGAATGTAAAAGAACGAAGGCGCAGAAAGTTGTGAAGACTCAACACTTCAAATTTAGAAGGATGGAGGCGGAGTCGTATCTATGTATGTAGTACCTATCCTTATCGAGAAAGTGTGTGCGAAATAACAAAAGATAAAAGAAGTCAGATGAACAATGTTCATAAAACTACTTTTGGAAGACCATGACGTGCTGTGAAGTGGGCGGGGTGTTGGAGCGGAGCTACACCTGCTTAGAGTGCGCTAGTTATCTGCTCTCCAGAGTGAGGGGTATGTACGATTTGGTCTGAAAAGTGTGCGATCCGATTGAAAAATGTCCGATTCGATTTGAAAAGTGTCCGATTTGGTTTGAAAAGTGTCCGACCTGAGGTGAAAGTGGTATAATTGGAGAAAACTGAAACAGTTACTGTCCTACAGTGATCAACCGGTCCGGGGTATGCCTTGCTTTTCGATAGCAGTCTTACCATGAAATGGTTTCCAAGTTTTCAGGATCCTAATTATGTCGACAGTTTCTAGAACATAAGTGAGCTTCTCAGGCTCTAAAATCGCCACGTCTTCTGAGAACGTGTGAACTTTGTGCTGCTAGCATGGGTAGCGGTAAACGGATATGGTCATCGTGTTCAGAAGGTCGAGACGAATCCCCAGATGGGATTGAAATTTTGAATATTTTCAATGCTTCACCAGAACATTGCATCATCGAATACTTTGACCGCTCCTCAAGCGCTTGTAAGCTGGTAGCAATTTTTGTTTCCATATTTGCAATCAACACTCCGGGCTTCCAATATTTACTGGTCTTTCTTTAAAGTTCCTTGGGAATTTGAGGCATTTCTTGATCAGGGACATTCAGTTGGATTAGAAATTTATAGAGTTTTCGGCACTATTTAAGTATTACTACCCCAGTTTTGCGAAAACAGACCGGATCTTGATCGACGTTTTTCTAGGCGGCAGATTTGGCTGAAATTTGGGTTTTTTTCGCAGTGATGAGCTCGGGGGTTGGCTAGACAATGATGATTCGTCTGCGATACCGAGCGAAACGGAATCTGTGTCGAATGACAATGAAAGCACGGTAGGTTCGTTTCCCGATGTGTTGGTTTTTCTTTGTACTAATTAGGGTAATCGAACCTCCTGACACGAATATGCACACCCGGCGTCCTCCAAATGACCTGGCGCCCTTCCGCCACAGGCGCCAGTGAATTTCAGGGCATTTTTGGCGCCGTGCGCGACGATAGTCGAATTAACCTAGAACCCACTTTCAGCCGAATTTGCCCCTGAAAAAAGCCTGAAAAAATCTGAAAAAAGCCCAGTGCCGAGTTCTATTATTTCTTTCAGGATACTTCTGAGATGCTTCTCTGTGAGCAAGAGTAAGTCCCCCAGCACTAACTCCACCGAAGCGAGAAGCTGATCAACAGCTTCAGTTTATATTGTTCCGATCAGTAGGGGAGGTTTCAAGAGCGAAGGAACGAGCCCCCTCATGGGGTCCCCACCACAGGTGGGGACTCCCTGCCCTAAATGATTGCGGCGTTTTCAACTAGATAATCGCACACGACTTCAAGTGAAAAGCCGCCAGTATTCCCGAATGCGCCGTCGACCAGAAGTAGATACATCACTTAGGATTGCACGGCACTTTATGGAGGTTTCTAGGAACCGCTGCTCTGATACGGGAGGGCATCAGTAGTCCAGCTGTTTGGACGCCCCTACTGTTCCCGTTTTGTGTCACTACGCCTACGATCAGGCTGGCCGGCCGCCCAACATTGCCAAAGAGCCTCAAAGATGTGCCGGTCTGACGGAACCTGAAGGTGAGAGAGCTAGTGCCTGACGAAAATGCTCAGAGTGTCCCAATCCATGCGAAATAAGTTCTACATGGGGGACGCTGCATGAGCGAAGTGTCCCTTTTGGCTCCGTCTGTAAACCATCCCGTTATCCACAGTCATTGAATCAAAAACATTCTAAAGAAACAACTGGTATATTCATGACTCACTTCTCACTTCATTTTCAATTACACTCACATTCATTATTATTACTCGCAACGCCCATACTTATACCAGCGGTTCATATTATTAACTGCTCTTAATGAATACAGTGAATGAACTTATGTGTGAACGCTGAAGATTCCGAAACCAGAATGCGAGTTTTGTGATTCCTACTTCCAAAAACACTCACCAGTGATATAAGGCAGAAGTAGAATGAGTCAAGAAATGACCAGCCGGACTCATAGAAAGTGAACACCCACGCCGCTACCGTCATGTAGCCGAAAAGACTGAGCAGAACTGTGAAGCGACGAGCGCCAGAAACCTAAAGAAAGGAAAGAAATGGACCTGGAGGACAAGGAGCTTATTCTGCCTTCATATATCGTTTTAGTACATTGGGAGTCTAGAGGCAGTGCCCGCGATTATCCTAGTAGAGGAAGCTCCATTTTCACAACTCGAAGTTGCTGGCGCCAGAGCTCTGCCGCGCTTTTTGGGTCATTTGTAAGCTCTTTTGCCATGTCACCGTCTTTCCCGTACTTGCTCAAGGCGCCTTACGAGGGATTTTCCCTTCTTTTTCCGCTGCTAATTAGCTTAAGACCATGACGTTCGTATTTGAACCCTACAAATGACAAACCGAGGATTTCATCTTTAGGGCATTCTTGTCGACTCGATACTAACGGAGTTCACTCACCTCTGCTAGCGGGTTGTCGTCACCAGGCCGTCCTAGGAAATCAGCAAGGAACTTCGCAACGTCAGCGATGGTAATAAGTGTGAGAGGAATTCTGAAAGAAACACTGAAATCAAAAAGGGAAAATCCTCTCCAATTTCGGTGCCCCTGATGAGACGTACAGGAGCCTGTCAGAAGCAAGTGAAAGGAAATCCACCCTTTGATCTAAACAAAAAACTCAAAATTGGTCGAAAAAAACAAGCAAAATTACATACCCAAGGATCGCGTAGAACATGCACAGAATTTGTCCTTCGGGAGAGATTGGAATCAGATGACCATATCCTAAATCGGCACTTTTCAACTTTTCCTTCATAGTTGCTATGTGACAGGGGTCTGACCAGGATACTCATTCTCTATTTACTCTATGATTAACTCAAGACGGGTCGGAATAGAGTACAGAAGCGGATCCTTGAAAGGTGTCTGTCACACGAGCTTTGGCGTCTGTTTGCTTATGCGATCACTGGCGAAGGTCAGAAAAGGATTGCATCAATATCAGCAAACCCACTACGGCTTACCAGAGGGTCTGCATTGTAGGAAAAACAAAAGGTTCGATAAAACAACAATGGCTTTGGTTGTCAGATTACCTTTTCGAAAAAAACAAACATTCATGTTCAAACCCAACCATCCTGCGCACTACAAATTGCGGATTGGAAGTATAGAGTATAGATGCTAATGGTCCGTGTGCAGGAAGGACAGCAAGAGGCCGGCCCTTAGTAGCACCTCAACGGAGGAATATTCGTAGAAGCGAGATACGATTGCGCCCCCAGGCCAGCGATACGTTGTTTCACTTTTGCTCCGTGGTTTTCATGCTCGGCCAGACTGTTTAGGAGTTAGGAAAATTCTAGATACGCGAGCTGCTGATGTTCGGTTTGGTCGAAATTGTTGACCAGTATTGCACAAACAGAGCAGTAGAAACGAACTAGTTCTGAGCCTGAAGGTCATACCTTGGCATTGTTGTTTCACACTTACCATGTCGCTGCCTTTTGAGGGTTAGGTGCCGTCTTGTCCAGAAATTTCGTCTTCGAGCTCATTTTAAAAGTGGCAAGATCACCAAATCGCTAAAAACTTGTATATAGGGGTAATTCAACATCCTGATCACGAATATGACATTCATTTTTGGCGCTGGCGCTAATGGATGACACTACGGTTACCTGCGCTCTGCTAAGGCTGAGCCCAGGAGGTAATCGTAGTGTCTCTTGACGCCCAGCGCCAATATGAGTAGTCATACTTGTAATCAGAGGATGTTGAATTACCCTATATTACGGGCATGTGATTTTCATGTTATTTAATCAGTTTACTTTTATGATTATAACATTGATGTTCAAACCTGTGATATAATATACATATACTGAAACATTAAAATTTAACTTTATTTTTATCTTTTATTTATATATCTTTTAGTTATATCTTTATTGGTTTCAAGGAAGTAGTCTAGTTTCCGTTTCGCACGTGCCCTTAGACGGAAGCTAGACAATCACGGTATCCTCCCTCCGTGCTCATCAGTAAGGAAGGGTAGGAAAACGAGTTTAAATACGACAGAATCAAAAAATTTTTAAAAAGTTTTTTGAAAAAACGTTTTAGTGAATACTTAAATGTTTTAGGAAATTTTCGAGTTGAGTTTAAAGAAATTTCTGTTACCTGGTAATAAGGGCTATCATATTTTCAATAAAATTTTTTAGTAGACAAAGTGATATTATCACTCACCCGTTACCTTTTCTTCTTATCCTCGTCTTCGAACAAAATATGTGCTTTATACTTATAAAATTTTGACTATTGTTCAAATTTTGAAACACTCACCGTTTGTTGACCGCATTCTTGTATAGTATTGGAATAAATGAAATGAGTTTCTCAGTGTTCTGTTTATAGGTTTGTCGTA